AATACTTTACAACAAAGTTTCTACTGTCAAGGACATACCAGTCAGTAGTGTTGAGTCTATAGCCACAGAGGCTGATTAGCTCGCAAGTAACCGAGGTTCACTGAGGTGTGGTATGTGGGTTGTCCATAACATCCATGGTGACGAGGCGTAGGGAGCGGCTGGTATCCTTAGTTTTGGAAAAATGTATTTTACAGCAAGTGTCGCCAAAACCTCATGGAGTGGACATACTCAAGTCATGTCGCTATAGATCTAATGTTACGGAAAATGGCTTTACATAAATCAATTCCTTTCTGATGTGAGGCTGAAACGATTATCTTCCTCAGTGTTACCATCAGCGTTACGTAACTAGGATAACAATGCAAGTTTTGACGCTGGGCAGATTCTGATGGATGAATACTTTAACGATAACAGTTCTGTCCGGTGATGAGGATCCTTTAGCACGGTTAGTTGTTGGTTGATCACAGATGACATTCTGTTATTGAGTTCTGTCCGGTGAGGTATGCCTTAACAAGGAAGCTACTCAATACGAAACAACGCGCCCGCTCAAAAATTCAGCCTATGTAAGTCTACAGTGAATGTTTAGGCTTGAGTGGTTGATAACCAGTATCGATTATGCTAAAATACATTGACTCGATCGAGGCAGATCATGCTACCGCAATAGTACGTGGCATAAAGCGATATCGTTCAGGACGACTCGTCAAGCTTTGTGTCTTCCCCCGTAAGACGCATATGCTCTTCTACTGCCCATAGTGTTGTTAGGGAAGTACAACAGCTGTCACTATATTCTTCCGACTAGACATTCACAATGGACCAGTTCGATCAAGGGAAGCGTCTCAATTCTGTCAGGAATTTGCCAAGGCGAATATTGACATTTTATCACACGTGCCTAGTTTCATGGTTCACACTTTCACCATTTATCATAGACCAACCGCAATACTGCATCCTCAGGTTGCTTCTCAGTACGTAAACGATCAACTGGTAGAGGTGGCGGTAAACAATTCAATAATGCAATTTATTTTCTGGAATATTACAGATCGATCGTCGAGCATTTCTATCTGCGGGTTATCTTTCCCAACTAAATCAACACAACTCACCACTATCCAGGGTTTGTCCCTATGAAACTTCCAGCTTGAGAATGACCACAGGTAAAATAACTTCTTCCTTTATTTGCTAATCCTTACGATGTTGGTGTGAAAAAAAGTCCAACACATGGTTGGTGATAAATAGACTCTACAAGTCCTCTTCCGTAACGTCGTCTTTCTTTTCATCCGACTCGTCCTCCTCATCTTCGACTGACTCTTCCGCCGCCTCATCCTCTTTCTTCTCCGCCGCCTGCTTTTCCTTCTAAAAACGACCACGAATCAACACATCTTTCAATGACGCCACAGTGTAGCGTACCTCTTCCTTCGCCTTAGCCTCCTCGACAGCCCTCAACTCTTTGAACTCTTCTATCAAGACGTCCGCCTCCTTCGGGTCGTCAGTGATGATGATATTATCGAAAATTGCACCAGAGTTGACCTAAGCAGTCAAATACCAGGGCGACTCCAATGATTTTCTCCCTTACTTGCCATACGTCGAGAGCAACGGTACCAAAATCAAACTTGTGCATCTTCTCTACAGCAACGTACTTCGGGTTAGGTATCTTCTTAGGCTTCCATTCCCCCTACAAATAAACTCCCAAACACAGTACACCTCGAGCTTCTACTTTATAGTCAGGGTTGGCTATTAGCTTGGGCGTCCAAGGCCCCTTATACTCCGGATTGTCGATCATAGGTCGCTCCCACTCGCCATCCTAACAGACGACGACTACTCCAACGATCGCCTCACAAAACGATCACACCTCCTCTTCGTCCCAATCCTCAGGCTGGGTAGCCTTCTCATCAGGAATCTTCGCTTCTTCCACCCAGTCCTCGGGCTTCTTATCCTCCGGATCGTCCATCATGGGTGTGTTGACCTGCAAACGCAACCATCCCTTATGGACCTACCAGAGGACGTTCTCACCCAATCGTCAGGCTTGGAGTCTTCAGGATCGTCAATCTCCTTAGGTTCAGCGAACTGCCAGTTCTCCTCAATAGAGCCGTCGAAGACCTCCTCGCCGTCAATTTCGACCCTCACAGTGTCGTTGGGACGAAGTACAAGCCTGTACACGTGCGAAAGCGTATCATCCTGTTTATACGGCAAATCCTCAGTCTTAAGTATGTTGTCTTTGCTGTTATTGAAAATGAGATGTGTACGACTATTAAAGCCACACTTGTCGGGGCCGAACATAATGTTGTATCTGAACACTTCACGTGGCACCCCACCACCACCCAGCAGCAGCACAGGTCGACCTACACTGAGTCGCTGTTGAAGGCTGAGAGGTTCTCCATCTTCGGGGCGAACTTCAAATAACCTCCACCACAGTCCATAGACTTCTCGTATTTGAGCTGAAAAGTAAGGAATCTTGGGTGAATCAATGTGAGTAACCTTGCACTCTACTTGATACTGGAAGATGACCTCCTTGTCTTCACTCGAGAAGGGATCGTCCAACTCTCTAATGTAGGCGTAATAACGATGATCCTCAGCGGTTTCTGAGAGGAAACATTACACGAGTTATACGATGATGAATTAACCTACTGAGGCCTCTGTTCTTCTTCTCATCAGCAAAAACCTCCCCGGCGGTGTGCTCAACTTTCCCATGGAGATCTTCCCCTTTCCAGTGAGACGCTGTCCAACGCTCTTCCCAACCTGAGAAAGGTGACTGTGACAACAGGAGGAGGAGGGGGGGCGGACCGTCAGGGAAGGTCTCCTTGAGGAATACGGTGGCGACGGCGGGGAGGGCTAAACCCAATTGAACGACTAGTCGCATGAAAACTTTTGCTAAAAACTGCCCAACACGACCGAGACTCGGATGGCTGCAATCCCAACCCAAAGCGAAGAGAAAGCGATCGAGCTGATGCCGCACGAGCCATGAATGATAACTCGGTACACGTCCTCACACCCATGAACTTGAGCATGCGTGCAACACCCCTCTCCGCGCGCGGCGTGTACGTTTTCTTGGGCGCGCGCCGGGGGTTTCGGCGCATCTTCCCCTGTGCGCTGCCGGAACAGTGACAAGTAGACAGGTCGTATATTTAGGGGGAGGCGCCACGAATGAGTAGAGTCTCTCGTCCAGTGCGGAAATTTGTATGTTTGGTCTTCTCAGCTGAGCTAGGGATTACACTTCACTACACTACCGAACTCAAAGTGTGCAGAAACCAACGACAGTTGCCTGAAATTCCTGTATTGTCATCAGCACATGCAGTTGATCATGTGAATATCCCCCCCCCCACTCCATATCTTGCCATTACCAAACCGTTACCTCGGTTGGGTTCCCTCTGACCACATGTACTCGCGTGCTGCCTATTATCGCGTCTATCTCCGACAGATTGTGTCCGGTGTCGTCGACACCGACAAGAACATTATTCCTTGCTACATATTCATCATCGTGTTCGAAGTGAATCATCAATTCCCCTCATGTCGGATCACTCCGTTTCACCCAACCTTAGCATCATCGTTACATTCAGCGTCCTCTATACATTCACCACCCGAGCTCTCAGGCTTAACTCTCTATATCGACCGCTACCTCCGCTACGAGCGTGCTTTATACTAGCAAAAAACTTCCGTGCCTTATTATTAACGATCGTGGCCGAGTCCATGCATGATGTTCCATTTCATGGAAAGAGAATCACTTCGCTCCGCTCATTGAGTTTGCGTACGAACGTAGCTCAGTCTTCATAAGAAGCTTTACGGCTTTCATCACTTCGACACTTGTTGAGTGCGAAGTCTACTACAACTTTCCTCTACGAAGGAATGTCATGACTCTACTCGTTCCACCCCATAGGTCCTTGCAGTTTCCCTACAACTACATTAGATATAACCCAACAACGTGAAGGCCACAACAACTACGAATTAGAGTGGTGGCAGTGGGAGAAGCCCCTTGCCGTTGGGCGAAGTTGCATGTGGATGCGTCAAGTTCAGATATTTATATAGTTTATATGCCAACTTATGCGGATCATCTTTTCTGCACTGGTGAGGCGGTCTCGTGAACCTGAACACTTTTATGCTACCATCACAGCCTCAAATATGTTAACGATTGGGAAAATATGCATATGGTCAACTACGTTTGTTGGTGACTGCAGAAGTTTCAGACAATTCTCATTGCCCGAATTCGTATATCTCACGAGGAAACTCCCGAGCTCAGCTAAGGACAGTGAACATATACTCCTCCAACACTGGAGTTTCACCCGTGACATGTTTCACGACTATTGCAAGGCGCGAATATCGCGTTTTTCACGGAGTTTTACGGCGCCACTTCACGTAAAACGGGTTGTGAAACTCCAACACTGATGACCTTACGCGTTCGAAATCGAATCCAAGGCTTCGAAAAAACATCCGATGTCCATCGCCTCTCCTGAAGGAGTATTCAGTCGAAATATTTCACGACATTCCTCCTCAGAAACCAACACCGGTGATAATTCGAGACTAAATAAAATAAAATTAAATTACCGCAACAATATGAACTTTCTCTTACTCTTTGCACATTTGTAAGAACGTATCCAATACCAGCTCATGAGCACAGTCATGATGGCCTGCCAAATCAAAGATTACATAATGAACGATCGGGACATTTCACCATCGAAATGCTGTTTAGTGGCGTAAGCCAGGAAGAGCATCCTCGCCGCTGACCGAAAGCGTTGAAGAGCTTGATTGTCAACGATGGTGGTAGAAGCCATCACTGGTTCTGTAATACAGCAAGAGCATCTTTCAACAGAGTTTAACGTGAATGTAAATTATAGACGTATATGTTTCCGCGACCGGTAACACAGTTGTATGTCGCGAAGTGAATTGTGGAATATGTTTTTCATATCATCACGAGTGAAATTCCAATAGGACTGTTCACTGACCAGTGATGGCGACCAGAGCCTGAGGACTGCCCCCTCCCTCTCCAGTGCTATGGATGAGTCTACGTCGACGTACTTCTTGCACACGTCGCTTGGCCTGACGAACGGCCATCGCGGCGATCTCCGCTGAATGAAAACGAAAAATTTGAAACGGCTTAGCGGAGCGAAGCAACCTTGTGTAGTTTCAGGATTCTTGATAGGCTTATTCCAGCGATGACAAGCTCCATCACGCTCGATGTCTCTAAGACGATCCTCTGATGAGAAACGTCTCGTCAACCTCCACCACAACTCCTCTTACTCAGTTCTATTATCATGCTACTGGTAGAGCCGACCTCCCCCGTATCTGAGGAATTACTTTTCTGAAAAGTTGGTATAGATTTTCTTACCGAGGAAATTCTTGATGGTCTTCAGCAGAGTTCGGCGAAAGGCCAGAAAATCAGCGTCAAATTCGTTGTCATCACCAGCATGGTCACCATCCGCCAAGACCAACCCCGAGTCCAACTTCGCCGATCCTAAAAAATCCGTCACTGCGCCACGGAATTCATCAGCTCTTACGACAAGCAAAGGTAGCCGACTGAAACGTGCTGCTTGTTAGATTAGGACGCAGATCCATTCTGGAGACACCAAATCCAGTGTTACCAATTTCTCCATCTTGCTCACTTGCCAAATCTTGCATTTCCTCAACGCTTCCTCTACCCGTCTCAACTGATGGAAAACTCAATACCACTCCTTTGTGAAATCATCATTATATTAAAGCTTAGCTCTCATAATTGACATCGTCACGCTCATATCAGCAACTGCCTTTCGCCACTTTCCTTGTACAGGATTCTCAACAGGCCTCTTTAATATCGACCCTTCAGCAGGTGGCCCCGATAGACGCTCGAAAACCAACCCTGCCCGACTTAGCCGTTTTATCATCTTTTCCGGATCAAAAGCATAGCCTGGCGTTACAACTCCCCAATGGCCGTCAACACCTTCATTTTCAAGTAGCCCTACAGCGACTTCGGAGACCATCAAAGCTGTTTCGTCGTAACCAGGATCGCCACCACTTAGTTGCAACCACAGATTTGCCCCCGACACACTAGTAGCATGAACGACGTATTTAAACCACGACCGTGTGCGAAGAAGAGGATCTGGACCTTGCCCCGGCTTAGGCAGCTTGCCCATTCCGATCAGTGATTGCCGAACCTCCGGACTAGCAACAACGGTTTGCTTTTTTGCACTTTTTTCATCAGAAACGCACAGAGCTTCCCCATAGGGAAAACGCTGCCCTTTTAAACTGGCAGTTCGACGAACCACTCTCGTATTGATAGAGGCCATCCCGAATGGCGCCAGCCAGCACCCGAGCGTTTCACTGGGACAAACCGGATGATCATCAACCTCAACTGATGACGACGTAGTAGACGGTCCCCCACCAAGGCTGTAGAGATCGGATGCCTCAGGAACGCCGGCCATAGCAATTCCCGACTGGAGTGTCCCCCCACTGAACGTCCCTCGCATCGACACGAATGCTTCAGCGCTCAACAATGGAGCCTTCAGGATTTTCTCAGCGAAACCAACGAGGAGGTCGGCCGGCTGGGAGTCGAATCCACAAAAGTTGACGATGAACGTTTTGTTCATTTTCGCTTTCTCGTGAAGGGGAAGGAGATCTCGAGCGACCCAGGGAGTTTCTCCAGTGATATCACAGTAGTGAGTGCCACAAGCGATGCAAGCACGGACGAGGGGCGTTCCTAAATGGAAGAAATATGATAGTCGTAACAGTGTTGGAGGAATATATGCTCTCTTTCCTCAGCTGAGCTTGGGAGTCTTCAAAACTAATTACACGAGTTTACATACAAAATGGTCAACCAGGTGTGTTGGTGATAACATGAAAATTCAGGGAGATTCTCATTGATTTCTGTAAACTTCTACCCAAGTTCGTGTATAAACTTCCACAAAAGTAACATATATTTCTCCAACACTAAAGTGTACTCACCTATAGCCATGAAGGGTCCAGCAGCAGAGATGACGACTTTGGCGCGCGCCACGATATTATGCAGCGATTCCTCATCATCGAGATTAGGGATAGCGTACTAAAGAAACCATAGCAATTTAGTTTCATCCGAATAACATTGGAATCTCGTGCGAACAGGAAAAACAAAAACACGTCTATGAAAAATTAT